CCCGCCCCGCCCCGCGCGATCCGCGCCTCAGGCCTCGCGCGGGCGGTCGCCGGGGGTCGCGGGCCCGAGTGGGAAGCGCGAGCGACGAGCTGAGGCCCGGGAGCCCCAGGGATGTGAACGAGCGCGTGGAGGGGTAGGTCCTGCCGTGAGGACCGCGCTGAGCCGAAAGCCGGCCGTGGAGGGAAGCGGAGCCGCCCAGCCCGAAGCTCGGCGTGCGCCCGCCTCCTCCCGCACGAGCGGAAACTTGAAACTCCCGCTGGTGCCAGCCAACTCTCCGGGGCGTTTCCATCGCCGCGGAGCGGGACTCCTTCCCCGAGGGAGGCCGGGGGCCGAACGGGGCGTGCTGCCTGGATGTTCGGCTCGGAAATCGTGGACTAGGAGAGGGACACGGGCCTACCCGAGAGGAACTTGTATTTGCGACAAAGAACGTGGAAATTATTTTGGTTGATTTGAACCAGCCAGTAGAACTTGCTTTTTCGCTGGCGGTGTTTTAACTCCAATTTTTAAATTTCCACGGACATGGCCCAAATTGGAGTGCAAATTTTAATCCAAGAAAGAATATGTAATGCCTTTTTGACACTTGCCGGAGTAGAAGAAAAAGTTGGAAGCAGGGCCGAAACCTAAGTTATTGTGTATGTGGAGAAAGATGGGCAATCGATGACAGCCTGAGCCCACGCACCTTGGTTAGCGGCCTGGACTAGATCAAGCCCCTGACTTTTGCATCAGTGTTCTGTCGTCCCCTCACTGTTCGCTGCGGAAATTTTTTAAAAATAGCTTTCTGGGAGTATACCAACTGCAAGTGCATAATCAGATTAGCCTTGTTTGCCCTGTTTATTTATCTTTTGTGAACAAACTTTAGACCCAAATAACAAAACTCAGGAGTGTACTTTTACAGGACAAATAATTCACATTCTTCTTGGCTTAGTATTTGCCTTTGCTGAGGCAGTAGCTTTTCCAGGAACTCTTTCTAGATCACTTTCACTAAGCTTCCTCTTCAGTGAGTTTCTATCATTGCCCTTGAGACCTCTCTGAACAATTAAAAGCCCAAAGAGACTCCGCGGTTAAAGGAAAGGCCTTTAGATTGCAAATTCCTCAAGGATTGGAACCAGGTGTGTGTTTTATAAGCAAACAGGTTTATGTGGTTCTTAGAGACCACCCAAAAAAAAAAAAAAATCACTCCCTGACCTTCTCACCAGAGTGTAAAAATTATCCAGGTAATTACTCAGCCTTCCTCATCATGTTGCATGCTTAAAGATAGTCAAAGTACTATGTAAATTCCTAAATATCAATAGTACATGAATTAAACAGAAGTATAAAACACACTTTTGCAACCAAAAAATGAAGGATTCACAGTCATGTGCTAGGATCTTGAGTGAAATCCTTTTCTATGACTATTTTTTTAATGATTGCAACAGCCTTGTGTTTGCACTATACAATAATTGACCTTTTGGGTTTTTTAACCAGTGACTAAAGAGAGCCTTAAAATGGTTAAGTAATTTGTCCCATGTAACACGGTTAGGAAATAGCAGAACCATGACCAAACCCAAATATACTATGGGACTTAAAAAAGCTTGTGGGGAAATAAAATTAAAGCTCAAGTTCATTTTGTTGCAAAACATTTTTGAAATCCATGCATAGTTTTTGTTTTGTTTGTTTGCTTATTTTTAAATTTTGCCAGAGGGCCCATGTGCTCACAGGAGAGAGGAAAAAAGAGAAAAAGAAGAATGGTTGCCGCAGGGATCTTGGGCACACCCACGCACATAAACCTGGTGTGTTTTTCTAGCTCCCAGGTCCGGGACTCAAACTCTTCAACTAGCTATGTAGGATCCAGCTGCCTTAACCACCATGCCAGGGACTGGTTTGTAGCTTTTTAATAATACGCATTTCCATGAATTTTTTTGAAGACTGCATATATTTGACTCAAAAGCCTTGATGTTACCCTGTACAACAGCAAACAGACCAGTAATTGTAATGTGTCAGGTAGCTATCGTATTAGCAAATATTTAAGTAAAAGATAGTATTCAAGACTGATGAGATTAAAAAAAAAAAGTTTGCTCTCAAACATCATGAGTAGGAATGTAAACTGAAATAGCCTCTTTAGAGAACATTTTGGCCTTGTGATTTACCCTTTAAGAATGTTCCTGGGAACCAGCAGTTAGCGTAATGGCTGTGTCCCTGGACTCCCATGTAGTCGACCGCGGTTCGCATCCCGGACCCAGTGGCTTAGAACTCACGCCAGGCGCGTGTGCGTGCATGCCCAAGATCCCAAGAGGAGAATGGAGGAGAAGGGATTGCGGCATGACCATCCCCCCTGGGGGGTGATTTCTCGCTTTCTGTCTCTATGGCTCTCTCTGTCTGTCCGGTGAGCGCACATGCCCTATAGCAAAAGCCTCTCTTTAAAAAAAAGTGAGTAATATTTATTGTAAGTAAATTATATCTCAATTTTTTTTTTTTTTTAGCTTTTTGCTACAGGTCACATTAGAGACCACCCAAAAAAAAAAAAAAATCACTCCCTGACCTTCTCACCAGAGTGTAAAAATTATCCAGGTAATTACTCAGCCTTCCTCATCATGTTGCATGCTTAAAGATAGTCAAAGTACTATGTAAATTCCTAAATATCAATAGTACATGAATTAAACAGAAGTATAAAACACACTTTTGCAACCAAAAAATGAAGGATTCACAGTCATGTGCTAGGATCTTGAGTGAAATCCTTTTCTATGACTATTTTTTTAATGATTGCAACAGCCTTGTGTTTGCACTATACAATAATTGACCTTTTGGGTTTTTTAACCAGTGACTAAAGAGAGCCTTAAAATGGTTAAGTAATTTGTCCCATGTAACACGGTTAGGAAATAGCAGAACCATGACCAAACCCAAATATACTATGGGACTTAAAAAAGCTTGTGGGGAAATAAAATTAAAGCTCAAGTTCATTTTGTTGCAAAACATTTTTGAAATCCATGCATAGTTTTTGTTTTGTTTGTTTGCTTATTTTTAAATTTTGCCAGAGGGCCCATGTGCTCACAGGAGAGAGGAAAAAAGAGAAAAAGAAGAATGGTTGCCGCAGGGATCTTGGGCACACCCACGCACATAAACCTGGTGTGTTTTTCTAGCTCCCAGGTCCGGGACTCAAACTCTTCAACTAGCTATGTAGGATCCAGCTGCCTTAACCACCATGCCAGGGACTGGTTTGTAGCTTTTTAATAATACGCATTTCCATGAATTTTTTTGAAGACTGCATATATTTGACTCAAAAGCCTTGATGTTACCCTGTACAACAGCAAACAGACCAGTAATTGTAATGTGTCAGGTAGCTATCGTATTAGCAAATATTTAAGTAAAAGATAGTATTCAAGACTGATGAGATTAAAAAAAAAAAGTTTGCTCTCAAACATCATGAGTAGGAATGTAAACTGAAATAGCCTCTTTAGAGAACATTTTGGCCTTGTGATTTACCCTTTAAGAATGTTCCTGGGAACCAGCAGTTAGCGTAATGGCTGTGTCCCTGGACTCCCATGTAGTCGACCGCGGTTCGCATCCCGGACCCAGTGGCTTAGAACTCACGCCAGGCGCGTGTGCGTGCATGCCCAAGATCCCAAGAGGAGAATGGAGGAGAAGGGATTGCGGCATGACCATCCCCCCTGGGGGGTGATTTCT